CTCATCGTCAAAACTCCAGCTAAGTAACATCATCACTCTGTTTGGGATAGTTAGTTTTTTTTTACTTTACCGCTAAGTACTCATGGGTCGTTAGACGTATTTCGAGTTTTTGGCAACCTCGAACGGGTCTAACAGTTGAATTTTCTATTCTTTTTCCAAAAAAAAGGAAAGAGATAGCAGTTGTTGAGGATATCACTCCTATGCAGCTCGGTTCTAAGAAGCAGGTTCGCCCTTCTAGGTCTCTGGATTTAGGTTACGGGATCTCGTATTTTAACATGTTTCTGGACTCAGGTTATGGTCTTCAAGGATCTCGGCTCTCCATGTCTCTAGACCTTGGCTCTGACTAAAGTTAACTAATTTTATACCTAATTTGGTTGAGTCAACATAACTTCGTGTATTTTATGGTTCATTAAGAAGTTAATATTGTTTTTGGCTCAAAATAGAAAGTGTGGTATTAAAATGACCTTATGAGATTTTTTTCTAATTTCAAAACAACGCCGTTTTGAAACTTAACGGATAAAGTAAATGGTAGTTAATTATTTTTTAACAGCTGTTAAAGTTGACTAATTGTATACCTAATTTGGCCGAGTCAACAAAATTTGATATTTTTTCGACTCATTAAAAAATTGGTACTTATTTTGGCTTAAAACGGATAGTTCGGTATTAAAATGACCGTTTTGAAACTTAAAATACGTTTGAACCTAAAGAAAATGGGCTTTTATAATTCTTGTTTCTTTGGCCCATTTATGATCCAAACGGCAATACAATTACAAGCTCTTCGCTTCCCAACTCCAATCTCCTCACTTGTCATCATCTCAAGTTTCCCTTCTCTTTTCTCCAAAATCTCTTTACTTCTTTTCACAATTCAACTTCTCTTGCATTACAAGCTCGAGTTCTTGAAAAGATCATACATACCTTTGTTTGAGTTAAGATCCTAATTTCCTCCTTTGTTTTTTCGTTCTCAATAGTTGCATGCAACCTGTTTGTAGAAATTCCTAAGAGACAATTCAAGAACTATATTCTGCTCCAATTCGATTACTTGATGTCTGAATCTTAGCTCGTTGCTGTTTCACTAATCTTCTTCAAATGTTTGGTAATGGGCACTGCATAAGAAGGCACATAAACTCTGAATTCGGTTTCAGAGCAAATCCAGGTCGCTTATTCCGTTCAATCCAGGTTTTATATCATTCATCGACTGATTCCGATAAGGATGCATTGCCTTACGAATGGTACGAAAGGAAGCTCCCAGTTCTGACAAAACTAAGCCGTGCATTGAAAGACGTCGATTTAGTCGATGGGAAGCTCGAGGACATCAATGGCGGCATTATCTACGATGATTGTATTAAACAGAAAATGCAGGCTTTCAAGTCTCTGGCTAGAATCTTCATTGGGTCTCCTTCAATTCAGAAGAAGATCAGAGAACAGAAACGCTTAAAGTTCCCAGTTTTTGGGACTGAAAGCGAAAGAGAACCCTTTGTGGTGAATTCATTGACCAAAGTTAGCAACTTTCTTAACATTTCAGCGCAACAGAGGAAGCTAGTGAGGTGCACTGTTTGTTCACAGGTCACACAGTATCGTATATGGAGAGGTGCTCTTGAAGATTTACTGAATGGTCTCAAAGAAGAAGTTGATTGGTTAGTTGAACATAGTGAGACGAGACAAGGTACTAAGTTGGGTCAGCAAGTGATACTGTCTTGTCTCAAATTATTGTCTGAATCATCAGTTTCATATGAAGCTGAGAACTCAACTTCATGGATGCGACCTGTTCCAGCTAGATACGCAAAAGCAAATGCTTCTGCGAAATGGGAAGATGTTCTTGACATGGTGAATGATCTGAGAAGGTATCTTGAACATGATGAAGGAACCAAAGTACTTTACCATCTGGAAAAGCTTGTATCGATGAAAGAAGGGCTTCTACAAGTGAAAGATGTGTTTTTGGACAACACTATTGGATTCAGAGAGGTTAGACATCAAGAGTATCTTGTGCAGAAAAAGCTTACAAAGACGTTAGGCAATCCTTCGCCGTGTTTGTTCATTCTCCTCATGTATTTCCTCTACGGCCGTGTCCGTGACATCGAAGTTGATCTCTGTGGAGGGTTTTACAAGGAGAAGAGGGAGTTCTTGTGCTTAAGCATGGGGAGGATCTTGACCTCAGCGGATGAGAAAATGTTGGAGAGAGGAATCAAGCAGTTAGATAGAGCTTTAGGGCTCTTTGAGTTTGTGTGGGAAACAGCAGGAATGAAAGAAACACTCAACCTGCAAGGGCATTTGTGGTGCCTTGGAGCCGAAGAACGGTCCATTACATATCGTGGGAAAACGTTCTTCCTTCATGACCTTTAGTCTATGAAGTTTTCTGAGGAAGAGACAATAACTGTACATTTGTTTCTTTTGGCTATAGAATTGGTTCTATGTACCTTACCGATAAACTTTTGTTGTTGTGTATCTCTTGAGGGGAATCATATCCATAGAGCCATTGGTTAAAGAAAAATGATATATAAACTTAATTGATACAAAGAGTTTGATATAAAATTTTCTTTGCTTCCTCGCTATTAAAGGAAGGAAGAGATTTAGCATAAAACTCACACAGCTAACAACATTCAAGTTATATAATATTACAAAGATCAACCCATGAAAAGATCCCAGACCATAGCTTAAGCAACAGCCATTCCAATGCAT